AAAGAAAAGGAGAAAAAAAGAAAGGAGGGAAAGATGGCAAAGAGTTGGAGGGAGGGAGGGAGGCTCTCCCACCACCACCCATCAAGCCCCTGCCACCCCCACCCCCGTGGATCCCTTACTTACAGCTTCAGCGGGGGTCAGGGAAGCCGGCGGCGGAGCTCTCCCGGCATCCCCCGAGACGCAGCGCTCCTGTGCGGGCCCGGGGGACACAGGGCCGGGGTTCTCCTCGCGTCCCCTGAGCTGCAGCGCTCCTGCGCAGGCCCAGGGGATACGGGGGTGGGGCTCTCCGGCCTACCCCGAGCCGCAGCACTCCTGCGCAGGCCCGGGGGATGCAGGGGCGGGGCTCTCCGGCCTCCCCCGAGCCGCAGTGCTCCTGCACGGGCCTAGGGGATACCGCGGCAGGGCTCTCCTGCTGTCCCCCGAGCCGCGGCTCTCCTGCGTGGGCCCGGGGGACATGGCGGCGGGGCTCTCCGGCCTCCCCTGAGCCGAAACACAGGGAGCTGGGGGCGGGGCTTGCCACTGCCACCATTAGCGCAGGCTCCTGGGCTGCTGGAGTGGTGCTCTGGCGCGCTCCGGCCCCAAGAGACCCCTGGTCTTAACCCCCTATAAATCAACTTCTGTCCCCACAAATTTGCCATGTTCATCAGAAAACATAAATTTTGGTTTTCATTGGGGATTCATATACAAAACAATTCCATTTCTTCTGTTGATATCTGCTGAAATAAATTCTTCACCCAAAATTTATAGGTCAAATATTTTATACCCTTTTTTCTAATATGGGTCTCTTGTAAACAAATAATATCTTGTTTTAATTTTTTCCTGTAGTGATTTTTTTTCTCTTTTGAGGGGCATTAGCTCCATTTATGTCCCATGTTAAAAATTTATAATCCATAATCAAATCCTAATTTTTGAAACCTTAATACCTGTAGCACCTATTTCTTTTTCTTTTTTATTTAAAATTTTTATTGAATATTAAGAAATGTAACATACACAACAATTTATATAAAAAGCATGTCAGATTGAGTAGTTTGTACATAATGATATTTCTAAAATAAATTTGCATTAAACAAAGTGAAGATTGATCAATACAGTATACGTTAGAAAACAATAATGCAAATGCTTAGTTTAACAATACAATCTAATCAAGAATAATTATTACGAGCGGTTGTGATGAAATCTTTTAGTGATAGGTGTGATATTCTATTAATAAAGATTTAAGTGACCTTGCTACATGAATACCATAACCTAACTGTGCCTGAGTTATGTGTTATATTATGGATAATCAGAACCATTTCAAATAGTCTTTCCAAGATGGAGGTATGTATTCTTCCTCAGATAGGTAAGACAGAATTGGAAACCACTTTGCACTGAACGTCTTGGTTGAGTTATTTTTCATATAATTACTAGTTTTGTCAGTTATACTCTCTAGGACATATTGGTCCCATAATTTTCTGAACCAAGTTTGGATGTCGGGGGTATTCTCGTCCTTCCACATTGAAGCTATAGAGACTCTGGCAGCGTACATCATTGTTTCCAGTGTGTTCCTATAGTGATGTTGATTGATCTGTTTCGACCATATCTCTAATAATAGGCTTTCCGGATCAAGTGTTAGGTCAATATCTAAGATCAGTTTAATTTTGTTTATTACTTCTAACCAAAAGGATTTTATTTTTGTGCATTGCCACCAGCAATGTGCGTAAGATCCCTGTACACCACAGCCTTTCCAACATTTTGGTGAGTATGTAGAAGACATATGTGAGATAGTTTGAGGTGTTAAGGACCATCTCGTTATGATTTTAAGTTTTTGCATTTCAACTGCATATGAGGGCAGTTTGTTTTGGGTAGACCTCCAGATTTCTGTCCAAATTGTTTCATCCAATTTTTTGAGCAATCTTTCTGCCAAGCTTTTTGGTATGATAGAGTATTGGATTCATTATCTGTGAGCAACATATTGTAAAGTGCTGAAATCATACCTTTGTTTTGATGACTAACTTTTAAGAATAACTTCAAAGTCTGTTAGAGGTTTTGATATAACATCTATTATTTTTTGTTGACTAATCACATGCTGTAATTCAGGTATAGGAACCATGGTATCTTTTGACCCAATGTGTTTTCTATATCTGATTTGGAGTGAAGGCCCTCTCTTCTAACTACATCGCAGTATCTGGACAGACATACCTCTCTCCATCTCTTCTGGAGTTCTTGGTGAGTACTATTAAGAAACCAATCCTGTGTTGTGTAGGTGGAATATCTCGAGACTGGTGGGAGAAGTTTGCGTTTTATTTTTGCCCAATATTTCAATGAAGGATAAAAAAGACTGTCTTTCGTTATTGCTGTGTTTTTGTTTGGTGGATTGCCCCATAAGAGTGTATCAATATTGTGTAAGTTGGTTTGATCAGAGACTATATTGACCCATTTTGGTAATGAGGAGTTTCTTTGCATCCTTATGATATTAGCTAATAGAGTTGCT